TTGGAGAATCCATTCTCTGGATACTTTTCGACACTGGAATAAATCACAAACTAATGAAATCATCTACAAGCAGATTTTTTCAACATAGAAACAAATATAGGAAATATATCCCTCTATATACAGACGGATCAAAATCCCAGGATCATGTTGGCGCTGCTTTCGTCACAGAGAAAACAATAGTAGGGGTTCGATTACATACAGTTTGCTCTGTGCTTACTTCTGAGCTTACTGCAATCCATCTGGCTTTGACTTACCTTTCAAAACAAAAGTACATAAAATTTATTATCTACACAGATTCCATGAGTGCCTTAATGTCATTGAAAAATCACGCTCAATGTACTCATCCAGTTGCAATCAGAATTCTGAAAGTTGAATCATTCTTTAAAAATTCGGGGATACCAGATTCTATATTCGTGGATCCCTGGACACGTTGCCATTAAGGGGAATGAATTGGCGGATATTGCAGCTAAAACTGCAACCACAATGTACAATCTTCAGATTCCACTAGCAGACATCAAAGGGTTTGTCAAAAGCAAATCCTCAGCAAATGGCAGAAGAAATGGGATGACAGAAGTATAGTAACAAGCTGAGAAATGTAAAAACCCACCATTGGATACTGGCCATGTATGGCTAATAGAAAGGAAGATGTCCTCTTGACTAAACTGAGAATTGGCCATTGTCGCCTGACCCATGAGTATCCTTCTGAAGGGAGAAGAGAATCCCAGCTGCCCAAACTGCAACGCAGATCTGACAGTCCATCATATCTTGGTGGAATGCCAGAGTTTTGATTATTTTCGCCAAAAACATTTTAATAGTTCAGAACTGGACTTAAAAAATTTAATTGGAAAAGCACATCATCGTAATTTGTTTCTGTTTTTAAAAGATATTGGCTTTTATAATAGACTTTAACCTGTTTTTTAAAAGATATCAGCTTTTATCATAGACTGTAATCTGTCTCTTACCTAAGCTGGAAGTTTTTACAAATGACTAATTGCATTGTTACCATTTGTCTGGCGCAGATAACCTTGACAGGTTTTGTTCCAAATTACAATAATCCAATCCAATCCACAACAGAAGGATAGCTTTTACTATCTCATCTGAATCGTGTATGACATACTTGGACATATGAAAGGATGCCCTCAAGGGTCCTGCAGCTCGCGACTATTTTTGGAATATTATTATGAATAAACTGATAACGCAGTCTCCTCCTATAGGCTATGATTGATTCTGTTTTCTGGATGATCTTATGATTTGCATGTTTGATTCATCTCTGGAGAAACTAGGGAAGCTACAGAAAATCATTGTTACTTTGGAAAGCTGACTAGAGGTAGAAGGGACACTTTTTAATTCAGGGAAGATGAATGCTCTGTTTTTTCCCAGACGAGGAAACCACATAAGAAAAAAAATTAAAATATACAGATCATAAAATAAAATTTTCTTCGAATTTGACTTATTTGGGTGTTATCTTGGACAACAAACTGAACTCCTCTGAACATTTTAATTTCACCAATAACAGAACACGCATGATTTTAACCAAATACAAAAACAATTGAAAAGTGGACATACAGTTTTTATACTCTGATTACCTTTCTGTGCTTCAAGCTCTCTCCTGCCCGAATAATTGTAATAAAGCTTTCTTTGACGTAAAGGATTTATATATAAAAATTTTAAAGCCATAATCATAGTTTTTCATGCTTCAAGGTGCACAGAGGTTTACAGGGCAACGAGAGGGCGGATTCTTTAACGAAGGAGGCGGTGGAGCTAAGGAGGTGATTGTGAGATCAATGTTTCAGGTTCGAGACAAGAGGGCATTTTTATTATGTTTAAAAATATACTGGAATCTTGGAATACATGTTGGATGAAGACTAGCAGAAGTAAAGACCACTTACGATTTTAAAAGCTAATAAAATGAAAATGATGAACGATATGGACTTCAGTCAGCTTGTTAGGGGAAATGGCCTCTTCCCACAATATTTATCAAGTTTCGGTGTCCAGAACAATCCATTCTGTAAAACTTGTAATGTAGTGGGTGATAGTTTGCATTTTCTGGAATCATGTGAATTGCTTGCTGATCTCTGAAAAGATTTTGTAATTATCAACGAAGGTGATTATTATTCTAACAGAAATATAAAAATCGCTCAGGATACTATGAAAATTATAAACAATAATAAGAATAGGATAAGAATAAAAAATTAGGGCTATCTTACTTCTTTTAAACTGTGTGAGAGTGGGTGTCATATGACCTTGCTTGCGACTATACGTTTTACTTTTTTCCTCATTATTTGTTACTTCTTTTCACCCCTCGCTCTTAATGCTTTCTTGGGTGAAGCTAATTTATGGCTATGAAGTGAATTCACATACACTAGGCGAGCCACGCTGCACCCACATGTTCTAAGTAATTAACTAACCATCCAGAGCGTTATTAGAATAATATATTGAATATAATGAACAGTAATATATTGTATAGTAATGCCACATAAATTTAGCTTTCAAGTAGCTTACTGAAAACGTCGTAGTCACACCTAAATTGTTGCAACATTCAAGTATTCTAACTATACAGTGTGATTGCTACAGGTGCGTCAAACTTAAGATGTAAGGGGCAACAAAGACAATTCAGTATCACATAGCATTGCAAGTTCCGAAATGCCTTCTACCCGAGTTACGGTTAAAAGAAGGAAAGAAAAAGAACAGAAACAGTAACATATTAGTGTAACGGAATTCATTATATTATAAATTCTACATTGGCTGAAAGCTACATATTACAGAAGGTGTGCGAAATGACATGATGTCCAGGAGTAGTCACACAGGTTTCACACCTGCGCCGCATGGAATTCCTCATGTTCTGGAAGAGTCATGTTGCATCTCGTATCTCCCCAGCAGCTACACAGATGGAAGCGAAGAGGTGTTCAACTGAATCAACAGGTGTCTCGTATACCACTGTCTTTATTTGACCATCATAGAAGTCCAGGCATGATATGTCTAGCGATCTAGCAGGATAATGAACGGAACTACCACAATCTGTTCAATGCTTTCCAAATATTTAGGTACTGGGGGAAGTCGTTGTACTGTGGGGGGAGCCGCATCATGCTGGAAACACACTAAGTGACGCACCGACTGAGAAACATGTGCTTCTTTAATACGTTCAGGCAGAACTTCACGTAGGAAGATCAATTAAGCCCTATTGTCCAGTACGGGGAGCAGAAGGAGGAGGTTAGCTACAAGAAGATGGTCTGCAAAAATACCAGCTCAAACATTGATAGGGAAACGGCTTTGAGCTGCACATGTAAAAAATGCCTCATCTGTGAACAGTAACGGACACAGCAAATGCATTATCTGCAACAATGTGTTGAAGATACCAAGTAGCCAAATTCTACTGGAGTTGATAATCCGCAGACTCGAATGCCTAGACGTGTTGCAGAGGGTACGAACGCATTTGGTTTCCTGACAGTGACCCTCCATACAACGGCTTGCGGCAAACCTAATCGTTTGGCTATCACCCGACTACTCGCAGTCCAATTGCCTTCTGCCAGGTGTAAGAAATTCTCCTCATTGTCTGAAGACGTCGTCGTTTGCTCTCGATTCATGATAGGTATCACGAAACAATCAGTCTCATCTAACTTTCTATGCAGGTGTGCAAAGATCGTATGATGAGGAGTATACCTATGCAGGAAACGTTCCTGGTACAAGCGCAGAGTGGCGCTCCCGCAGCTCCATACGCGAGATTCATGCCGGTCAGTTCAGCGTTTGAATTCTCGTCCATCCTAATGTCTAGGGATCTGATTCGCAAATGCAGACTTCCAACACGATTGCTGTGCAGTGGGCTTGTGTGATATTTTCCGACGAGTCCAGGTTTAGCTTGCAGTCTGATTCTCGCCGGACTTTCATATGGAGAGCTCCAGGTACCCGTTACCACCAAGAAAACATTATTGAACGACACCGTTACCGTGGTTCAGGAGTGCTCGTTTGGGGTGGAATTATTATGGGTTCCAGAACTGACCTGCATGTTCAAATTGGAATCATGACAAGCCAAATCTATCGGGACGTCATTCTGGAACAACATGTACGTTTGTTTCGGGCGCCATGGGCGCACAATTTGTGTTTATGGATGACAACGCCCGTCCTCACCATGCAAACATCGTAAGCGAATGCCTTCAATCGGAGAATATCACCAGTATGGACTGGCCAGCATTCTCACCGGACTTGAATCCAGTAGAGCACGTGTGGGACATGCTTGGCTGACGAGTTGCAGCCCGTCAACCTCCTCCTACATGTCTACCGGGACTTCGGAGAGCATTGCTTTTTGAGTGGTGTAATATCCCCCAAGATAAGATCGATAATTTGATATTCAGCATGCCTAGGAGTTGTACGGACTGTATTGCATTGTCTGAGAGACATAGAATGTATTAACAATCGCACCAACCATGTAATATTGGTTTTTTGTAAATAGGTAATTTTTTTGGAATTTGCTCCAGGGAGAAAAACTCGCTAATTTTTTTAATAATATCAAACATAAAGCATCTTTTTTTTGCTCTTTACCTTTTGTTTAATAAATAAGCTTTACAAATAAGTCAAATTTGTTTTGCTTCTAACTCTTCCTTTGGCTGATTTTGCGTTATCCTTAATTTATGGACATGAGTGTATTTGACCCTCTACTAAAGTTATATTAGCACACAAAAGAAATCAAGCTATTAGACGCAGTAAAGCATAATAAATCATTTTAAAACATCTGCGAAAAACTGCTTTTTTGGAATATTTACTTACATTTTCTTTCTGTTTTATGAAAGTTTCGTTTTCATATAAACAAAACTTTCAGCAGCATTTCAAAAGGGATTTTTATTGGCAGACTCTTTAAAAAAATTCAAATATGAAGCAGTTCATAAATTCACATCTAGAGAGGTATGAACCTTGCTAATAAGAACATAAACATTCATGCATTTTATATTATCTGTCGTATTTGTGTTGTATTTCGCTAATATTGTGGATTGAATTTTAATTTTTAGGAAGCTTTGAGCTATGAAATAGTTCAAAAATTACAGTATCTTGATGCTGTGATATGCGAAGGATTAAGACTTTATCCACCTGTTTTCAAGTAAGTATTTCATTTTTTGTTTCTAAATAAGTTTAAGGCACAACTTACACAGTGATAGTGGACATAGAACGTTTATGCATTATCTTGCAAGCTTTTCTGAGTTTCATACCTTAATACAACTTAGGGACTGCTTTCAAACATAAAAAATATAAATTCTGTTACTTTAATAACATTTCCTTCAAAGATATTTCGATCTTGGTTATGACAAAGCTTGCGAAGGCTCTCAGCCTAAGTGAAGGAATACCTTGGTGGTGGAGTTTCTATGGATAAGTGCCTTATATTCACGTTAACTCATGTGGAAAGTCAAGATCATTAGACAAACAAGGTTAGGCTCTTCCCAATACTGTTGTCACATACTCACAAGTGTGGCAGAAAGAAGCCGCAAAGGGAGCAGTTGCAGCTAAGTAAAGTAAGAGTCAGTGACGTTACATAAACTGACATTACAGTAACAAACAAAAAATCACAAAATCTGCCATACAGCCAGCTTGCAGCGGCAGCTCCAAACAGGCGATACGGACTTAAAAACTGTACAGAAAAGCGCCAATTGGCGAAACAGTAAACCCGTTTGGCAAACCTACAGGCTGACGGGGATGAGAAGAATTTTCCCGGCAGTCAAGTGGAACTACTTCAACAAAGTGTGCATCTCTGTTTTCGCGAGATATGTGAACTTGGGTACTCGCATCTGTACTGTGCTCTGAATTTCTTAAGCGTTATAATGTAACGGCAACTGTTACTTTTCCTTATTAAATTTGATTATTAATTGTAACATGTCTATCTTAACTAAGATTTCGGCTTTCCTAGTTAATGTTAGGGATATTTTCGTATGCACGTGTTACTCACACGTACATCAAGCTCATTTGCGGGGATTTCAACCTGGCTTTGATAGTGGAAGCTAATGGTTGACTGCTTGGCATTTGTCGGGTAGAGATGCAAACAACTCCATCCTGAGTTATTATTTATGTTCCACGGACAAAGAAGTAAATATGTACACGTTTCGCTTAATGATCTATGAAAGACATATTTCTGAAAGAGTATTCGAGGATTTAATAATAGAATTTATAAGGATTTAATAATAGTATAATTGAGTTCCATTTCACTGCACCATTATTTACACTGCTGTACCTGGCAGCGCATCACATGAAACATATAAATTTATATCCATTTCTGCGCACCTTGAAGCAAATGCTTATTATGCTTAAAAAATTTATACAAAACGTTTCATGCTTTTTTACGAAGGCATTTAAGAATAAGTTTACTGATTTAGGTTACTTGAACAAATTGAATGGAAGCAACAATGAACATTTTGAGCGTGCGGCCGAGCGGTAAAGTCGCTGAACACTGGTAGTTCGGTCCGAGGTTCGAATCCCGCGAACGTTTCGTGGCGTTTTCGTGGTTTTCCCCTTGTGTAACGTGTATACGAGCCAGTTTCCCTTAGAAAGTCCTCCACGAAAGGCATCCCTCCCTTTAGGCAGATAGCCCTTGAGGCTTTGCCATAATCACACACACACACACACACACAACACACACATTTTGATCGTGCTTAAGTAGCAATTGAGAAGAAAAAAATCTTCGCTTCGCTTTCCCATTTAAAATTATGGGAAACTTTAAATCTTAGTTGTTAAATCATTATCAAAATGATAATAAATAGAACATGTTCCTAGTTGATATCATTACAATATTTAAGAAAATGAAGCCTGTAGCCTTTTCTGAACATTTTATACTAAAAATTTGCGAGCCATAAAACAGCTATATTCTCTAGCGGTCCATAATTACTTTAAGTCGCAAGTAATTTTTGTAATTAGTACTTGAATACAAACTGCATCTTAGATTGACAGATAGCTATATAAGTATTTACAATATACCATAATATAAGATGAAGTAGAGAAATTAAACTCAACCCAGTAAATGACACAATACGGTATCACTAAACTAATTATTCAAAAGTTTTAGCCATCATTAAAAGTGCACCACCACCAAGCATCACTAAGCATCCGATTGGCATAAATTTTCGTAAAAAGGAAAACCATGCAGAAGCACGTAAATGATTAATAGTGCAGCACATTTCCAAGTAATGCGATCTAATGAAGTCCACTCAGAGTGATGCAAGAAGAGATTACATAAATTTGCTGTAAGTCATCGGAAGTGAGTCTACTGCACTGGAACTGTTTTAGTTGCAGGTCTTATCCACAGAAAGTAACTGGTGTAACTGGTTCTTTACATATCGTTGCCAGAATATATTTTCTATAGGGATGTTTTCTTCAATTACTATATTACATAAGTAAATGAGATTACATTGATGCCAACAATATCCCGCATGGAAGAGTGGAATGCATCGCAAGGCCTTTTAGACGACTTCTATGTCTCTGTGCAACACCACGATGAAAACTTTCAACTTTTGTTAAACGCTCAGATCGAAGTGCACGATACACTGCCACACAGTTTTTGAATCTGGTATTATGATAACAGCTGTTATGCATGAATATTGCTTATTAACAATCTACAGTCTTAGTAGTGTAACGAACCTTCATACACTTCCAGAGTCAAATCCTCTGCGTGTAGGCTTCATTATTACTGCCTATAAATATTTAACTCCGACTGCAGTACCGAAAGGCTTGTGTAAAATCCCGGCAAAAGCATGGATGTTTCTAAATGTACAACATTTTTGGAACATGGGGGCACTGTAAATATATAGCGAGCTGAAAGTCCTCTCATCTGGTTTGGTAGTAGAAAAGAGGGTTGGGAGACCCTCAGATCGCCTCCCATGGTGCTCTCCCTAAACACCGGAGAAGTAGAAGTCCGACCTCTTTGAGGCTCTGGCAACCATTCTAACATGAATTATGGTCTCGACAACAAAAGCAATGATACTGATTATTTTGCAATACACAAGTCTAACATAGCTGCTTTTGTACTTATTTATACTTTATATTATATAGTATAAATTATGTTATATAGAGTTCCTTATGTTAATAACCAGTTATTATAATTTCTGTCTTTACTATAACTTCTCCTTTTCGTATTCCTCATCAGCATGCAAATTAGTTGCTAGTTTCTGCCAGCTCTATCAGTTGTAATTATTCGGTTTTGCGTTTCTCTCACCTATGACACTTTAATCTGACGCGGCAGTAAATTTATTGAGCCAGCTTATAACTTAGTAATAAATTATGTAGCCTTGGACTACTGCTAAACGTGTAAATTATGACTATTATTATTTTAATTTGTGTTTTCACAAGTTATGGTTATTTTAGCACAATAAAGCAAAAATGCAAAAATAAGTCGTGCATTTTAAGTTCGGAGTTCTGCTTAAATGAAAAAGGTTGATTTTATAACATTCCTAAGACATTGTCCTTCTGCCTCAGATGCACTAATAACTCGTTTCACGTCCGTTAGGGTTATAGGACTAAAGTAGTATTACCAGATCAAGTGTAACCCTGTAATGTCTTTAATTTAGTTTTCATAGTTGTTCTTAATGGAGATGTACATTTATAGCCAACAAAGACTATTGAAAATTATAATTCCATACAATGACCAAAACAGTAATTTCTTAACTAATCATGCACTGAATTGTTCTTTCTACAGCTTTGTAACTCGTACACCACTGGAAGATACCCAGTATGACAGTATTAGAATTCCGAAGAACATGTCCGTTCAGATTCCCATCTATGCTCTACACTATGATTCTACATACTGGAGTGCCCCTGAAAAATTTGATCCTGAAAGGTAAATTAAATTTCAGTCTTTTGACACTGTCATATAACCGTTTGTTAAGGGAAATTTTACTGCAGACTTACTCATTTTCCAATAGATACATAAAAACCTTTTATACAGACAAGAATCTAACTGCAGTTCACTAAGCATATCTATGTATGATATATACATATATTATATAATTCAGTAATCCGATATTTTTCAACAATATCGAATGTTTTCCTCGCATATGCTGATGCATTTATAATTATATATATATATATACGTGCGTGAGTGTAAAATAAAAAAAAAATGGAAGTCGAAATTCTAACTTAATTTTGTAATTGCCCTTTAATTCTTTAATTTAATTTGGGTATTTTCTCTTTCTGTTCAAAAATAATATTTGCTCTCTAAACTGCTTCATTTCAAAATTAACGGCCTCAATCACTGGACTTTTCCCATAACGCTGGTGCTGTAAATGGTTTTGTAAACTGAAACTCAACCAGCCAATAATAATTTTAGAGCGTTATATTAGTCAATTATACTAAAGTCTAAACTAATACATTCTGAATTTTTTTTTCTCAGACCCGTCTCATTTACTATCTTATCGGCTTATATAGACTGCTGCTGTGCTACTCTTTTCTTACCACAGCGATATACGTAAAAAATCACTGGATCAGGCGCGATTAGTATGCCAAGTTCTCTGTGGCCGCAAATGCGAATTAAAGTAAAAGTGAATATTTAAATCTGCCACGAGTCCTTTTTGTTGGATTTACCTGATTTGAAATATTACTGTGGCATGCTTCAACATCTGCGTCATCAGCGACCTTTTAATTTACTACATATAGTCGACAAGCGGTATCATCATCCACCATGGGAAATCATTGCCTTAAAGTAAAGTTCATCTACAGAATTAAAATAAATATGCTTATCCTCACTTAAATTCAAATTTTTTTCTGCCTAATGTCTGCATAACGTTTCAAGCAACTCTCGAAATCCTTTTTTGTGTGCTGAATTCAACCAATGTACTAGAAATGAGTGAAACTTTGCTTGAATCATCAAAATAATTTAGTTAAGTAATAAAAGCTAGTTCATTCTAAAGGCTCAAAACTCAAGCTAGTAACCTACAGAATGAATAATCAGTATATCGAAGTTTCTGATTATTTTAAGTTCAGTGTTTCAGTGCTTCAGAATTAACTCAGCGTCTTTTTATAACAAAGTGCCTTAAACAGTGTCCAAGTGATATGATGCTCCAAAGTCGTTTGTGGGTTGACAGAATAAGTGTGAGTACAAGAAAATTTACACTGCTCCTTTGCCTAATCGCATTTGCCTTGCAAATTGACGGTATTTCTTCCTTTATACTGGATTTTTAAAATGTATAAATTTAATGAAAATATTATATTACAGTTTTATGTTGTCAAAATTTCAATTAATTATGTTAGATTAATTAAGTTGTAAGGATTATGTTAATTTTATTAACAGTTAAATTTTGAGTTAAAGTTCCTTTCGCTATTCTTATTACTTAAACTACTACTTCCGGCCAGAACGTAGAATTTTAGAGTAAAATTCTTTTTAAAACTTTTCTAATTATTTTGAGAATGAAGTAAAATGTAAAACGTGAATGAATTAGTTATGCATATTGTTATACAGAATTTTATAAAAATTGTTTTTATAAGAATTAAATAGCAAATATTAAATGTTTTGATACAGTTTTGTTATATTTGTTAAAAATATTGAAAATTTAAGGAATTGAGTTATAATAAATTTGACTATGAACAATGTAATTATTAATTAATACAAAAAAGTAAATTGTATGCAAAGATAGAATATGTTGAGGGAATACTGCTTTAGGAACAGAAGCTTAATTTTTACCTCTATATAACTGTTCCTTTTACTCTGCTCATACAAAAAAAAAGTTGATGGCTGTCACTTTGATTGAATATAATTGTTTTATTTTATATAGAATTATTTTTATTATAATGGAATATTTTAGTGCAGTTCTCAAAGGTCGGTTACCTTATATAGGAATGGAGGCCTTGACAATTGACTGCCGAGAAATCTTTGGCCACTGGTTCAGGTACACACCAATCAGCGAAAGTGGATACGTCTACTTACAGATTTGTTTTAAATAAGAAAATTGGAAATAAAAAATAATAACAACGGAGTACCAATTTCAGAAAGAATTTAGAATATTTATGATGCTAAAAATGTAATTTTGAAATAAGAAAATTAGTGCGTATAGACTTTGGACTGAGTTCTGAAATTTTTATGAGGATTCTAAAAACAAATTTTAAGAGACAAGAATGTTTTCCGGATTGGACTTAAATCTTAATTGGACTCCAAAAATTGCCTTTATTCTCTCAAGTACAGTATTCAAGATTTATGTTCTATATTAATTAAAATTTTAACACAAAATTTCATGATTTATATTTTGCATATTATATTCCCTTATTTTTTCGGTTGTAATGGTTTTCATCAAATCGTTTCCTGTCCCCACGTCTTTTTCTCTTTGAAGGCGCTATATGTAAGATAAAATATATGCAAATCAAAATTCGAACTTAAATTTGTAGTAGCTCTTAACTCTTTATTTTAATATGGGTATTTCCCCTTTTTGGTCCAAAAATAATAACTGTTAATTATCGACACCGCTAAACTGCTTCATTTGAAAATTATTAGTCGCTATTATATAACTTTGCTATAACCTGATGATATAAATGGTGATGAATTTGAACTCAACCAGACAATTATAATTTTAGAAAGTTATTTATTAGCCAATTAAAATTATATCCAAATCGAAAGATTCAAGTTAAAACTTTGTCATGAACAACAAACACATTGTACTTGCTTCCAGCTTCTCGGTCTATCTAGAATGCTGCTGGGTTGCTCTCTAATTGCCGCAGCATATCAGAAATATAAATGTTCGCTTTAACAGGCGCGATTAGGTTGCCAAGTTATTTCTAGCAGCAGATGACAGTTAAAAAAAATGAATATTTAAATCTGCCACGACTGCTTTCTGTTGTAGCTACATGACTTCAAGTATGTTTATAGCATGCTTGAACCCTTGCATCATCGATAACTTTCCAATTTACTATATAACGTAAAATAAGTATGTTTTTGGTAAAAGGTTGTCAGATTTTTCCTCAATGCTGACCCATTTAGGTACTATATTTTAGTTTTTGCTGTTAAGTATGTTTAAACTCGAATTTCAAATTAGAGTTCTTACACAGAAAGACTTCATTAAGCCATCATCTCATACAAGCCGACAAACAGTGGCGTAGCGAAGGGGGGGCAAGGGGTGTATGAAGCCTTGGACGCCGCTCGCAAAGGGGCGCCAAATGGCCTCCAAACAAGATTTTCCGGAAAATTTCAGTTATTATTTCGATCGATTTCTGGAAAATATATTTAAAATTAATAATTATTGTAATATAATTAATTATTTAGTTTTTTGATTTGTCTGATATAATGTATAATAAAATGTTTGCAGTACATCAACCAAATATCTCTGCATACAAAACGTTCTTTCTGATCACTTTATTTCTCTAAAATAGATATATATTTTTATTTTTTTAAAACAAAATGCACGTATACACGACCTTGTCCCGAATTTCTCAAACATATCCAGTTTCCAGAAAAAGATCCCATAGTTTGGAAATGACATTTTGGGAGACTCCTAACAGTTCAGCTACAATAGATTGCGTTTGACTCTACTGTAAAAGACTGATGGCCTTCCTGGCTACCGATTTAACTAAGTCATCTTATTGAGACATCATATATTCACTGCTACAAAGCATTCAACGCGTGCCAATTGTTTTTAATCTCCTACTGCAAAAGAAATGCTGCAGGTCGCTTCTTACTCCTTATCTAAAACGTACAGTTTTCGATGTCACAAGACTAAATTTGCATATTCCTACTTTGTAAATGTTATAATTTTCCTTTATAATCTCTTATATTTCCTTTTGTTAAAAAGGTTATTGATTATATCGTTATTTCCTACCGAACCCACAATATCCCCTAATTGTTTTGAGCAGTGAATGTGACTGCAAGATGTTACTCCGCAGTAGAAAAGAAGCGGAACCTAAAACTCCATTACAGATCTATAGAGAAAATGTTTTTACAAAGCTAGGAGTCGCATTTCAAATACTCCTTACTATTTCATTATAAAATGCTAGCTATGAACGTTCGTTCTGCAAATTAAAATAAATTTTGACATACTTATAATCAACGATGGGACAAGATCCCCTAAGTCATTTAGCATTTTTAAGTGTGGAAAGAGAAAAATTTGAAACTATCGACTTTGATGAAGTACTTGATAAATTTGCTTCATCCAAGGCAAGAAAAATGTATACATAGTAATTAATTGTATTAATGTATTATATTATTATGATTAAATATATCTACTTATCTATAATATATATTAAACTTTTAATTGTTTAAAATTAAAAATTATACTTTTTAAAACAATTATAAAAATATGTAAAATAAGTAATATTTTTTTAACTAATTCTAGATCATCGTATGTTTGATTTTTCCGTCGACACAGATACATTTCCGAATCCAATGCTAGTGTAGTTAGATAGTCACTATTCTTAATATATTTTAGAGTATTTTATGGCAGATTCAGCATTTTATTATTATTTTTATTAAAAACATATTCTATAAATTATATTACTGGAAGTGTTTTTCTTTTGGGGGGCGCCAGAAAGGTATTTTTCTCCGGGCGCCAGTTATGCTTGCTACGCCACTGCCGACAATAACGGCTTTGCAGAATGTTTTGATATCTTATTCTTTTCCCTTGATAACTTAATAACTTCCTAAATAACTGCACAAAATGTATAGGAAGAAATTTTAAATTTATTGAAATGAATAACAAATATTCAGCTACAACTAGCCTGTGGAGCACGGGAAAATAACAAAGCAAAATCTCCTCAACATGCGACGAAGGGAACACACCGGTCAAAATTACTTACAGAATAGTAATCACCGAGAGATACGCATCCTAGCAAAACAATCACAGATTCTGATTTGACGCATGG